TGCTTTTCTTTGATTTCCCTTCGAGGTTCCGCCCTCTGTACGACCCTGTCTCCTCGGATGACGGGCCGGGCGATACCTGTTTAAAGAAGTATAGCTGGCTGTAGTTGCTTTCCTTGCCCCCCTCCCTTTTTCCTGATGTTTTTGTACCGAGACCGGGCCGGAGAGTTTAAAACAAAGGTTGAAGCTGGAAGGTTTATGTTTTTTTTACTCGCTGCTTGTAAGTTTTTTGCTGTTTTTTACTATTTCCGGATAAATCGGGCTCAAAAAGCAACTCAGACGGAGGACATTTCTCTCCAGTAACTCCCTTCATGTCCTTATTCCTTATAAGGATATAGAAAACTACTGACGTGCCATGGACAAATCAGTGTATAAACTTGTTAAAAGATTATCGCCCCGAATCGACTAAACTCAGGAAGTAGTTTTTTCCTTGTAAGCAGGAGGTAAATTTTTCGCTTTCTGTTAGATACTAGTTATTCCTTTTCCTAAGCAGTTAAAAGGCTAAACCCAGTTTTTGTCTGAAGCTCAAAAGACATAGGCCTCGTCTTTTTTCTTGATATTATTTGGAATATTTCCTTTATTTTCGGGATTAACTAATGGGGGTGACAACAATTTACAATTTGATGGAATTTTGTACTTTTTGAACTATATTGTCGTGAACTTTCACTTTTTGCCAACCCGTTAGTTAGAATGTGACTCCATCTGTTGGTAGAGCTGCATGGAGTCTAAATGTTTTCGTTTTCCTTCGAGGATGGGTCTTCTTCTAAAATATTTAAAACATCTTCAGGGTAATGTAATATCGTTATGAATGACCAGTTCATCTGATATATTTGGTGATTGTGTCGTCATGTCGCCCGGACTATATGAGCTACACTCTGCTGTGTTTGCTGAGACAGCTTGGATCTCGGGCTGCCATCACGATCTCACAGAAAAATGCGAGGATTCTCTAAACGACCTTTCCATCACGGCATTAAATGAACTAGAGAGCGTTGTCGTGACCGTACTCGACGTTCTGTGCAGGAACGCGATCGAGAACGACCGCGATGCTCTCCCTTCTATGCTGGCGTGATCGTTCTTTGCGGCCCGCACGGGAACGCGATCGTGGAACGTCCGCCATGTTTAGATTTCTTTATACTGATTTTCTAATTTCTCGAGTCTTTTTAACAATTCTTTCTTTGACAAGGAAGAATCTGACTCAATACTAATACTACTAGAGGATCGATGTCTCTTTTGATTTGGTTTACCCATGACTACAAAAAAGAAAAGATAATATTTCGATTAGTTTACTTACGTATCTTGACGGAGCGGCGCACGACAACAATCTCGCGATAGCACAAGAAGGCGAATGATGGCGTACGACACACATTGACGGGTCTCAGCTGCTAGACGCAGAGCTGGTGGTGGGGACGCGTTCGTCTTTAAAATCTTGTGGATAGGTAGTACGAAAAGGCGGACTACATGGTGAAATAATTAACATCTTTGGACTGAATGCCGAAATATAAGTTATATTTTCTTTATTATACCCATACTTATTTTATAACTTTCATAATAAAAAGTTTTTATAAATTAAAATCAACAACATAACACAAAATATACTTTTTAAATCAAAATAAGATAACTATACTATTGCAAAAACCATATTAAAAAAATAAATAAATTCTACCAAAAAGTAAAAAAAAAGTATCTATACCAAAAAGTGTACTAAAAAACAAACATCCTTTTTAAAACAAAACATCTATACTATTACAAAACAATAATAAAAAAATAACAAATATATTCTTTTTAAAACAAAATAAATTATACTATTACACAATTATATATATATATACTTTTTTTTTATTTTTTTTTATTTTGAGGAGGGAAAACATCTTCCACACCCCGAAAGGGTAGTGCCGGATTCTTACCGGCTAAAAAAACCCTCCTCTACCCTGCCACAGAACCGCATTGAATCCCGCTTCGCATTTCTGGCTTCAATGAGAAATCCGGCCGTTGTCCTTAATCTTTTCTATCAGGACTTTGCATCTCTGGGACTCCTTCTCTTTATTTTCCATAATATGTCTTATAATCATTGTAACTTTGTCCTGTAGCATTTTCCCCGTCACGACTAAGCTATTTGCTACATTTCCTATCCTATGTTGAAAACTTTTTTGTATCTTGCAAATATTGATCTCTAATTTGATTCCCATTTAAGGCATTCAAATAAAGTATGTTCTGCGTCATCTTCGGCATGACAATATATACACTGAGGTGTGGTCTTTTTTCGAACAAACAGATATTTACCAAAGCACCTATGACCCGACAACGCTTGCGTTATGTGTATGATCTACTTCTCCGTAGCCTCTAGTAATCCACTTTTCAATGTTCAGGATAAGTTTATATGTCCATCTGCCATGTTTCCATTTTCCCATTTATTTTGCCACTCAGTAATCATTTTACTTCGAGGCTTCTTGCCTTGGCAAACCCGCAGTAAGTTGCATGTCTTTCTTTTATTAGAAGCTCTATTGGAGGAATTCTAGCTACAACGCAAGCACCTTCACTCAGATATTGTTCTGTATGCACAGCAAACTCTGATGCATATATTGTTCTCTGCACTCTTATAAGTTTCTGCAGTTGTTTTTATTCTGCATTATAGTATGCCATGCCGGTGCTGCATACAGTAATTGCGAATGTACCACACTTGCCAGAATACGCCTTCTGGAGGGGTTTAAGGACCCTGATATTCGGCATGAGACTAGTCAATGCCGATATCGTCTTCTGCGCTTTAACAACAGTTTTGTCAATATGTACCCCGAACGTCAGCAGTTTGAGCCCAGGCCATACACCAAGATATTTAATGGCACTACTTGGATTAACTATTGTTTGCTCTACATTAAAATATAGTCTAGCTATTTTCTCTTGGTCGTTAGTAGAACTGCTTCAGTTTTATGAGGAGGTGCAAGTTGAGAGGTTTTGCCTCCTCATCCACTTTGTTACTCGCATTTAGTCCGGTGTCAGCCAAATTCATCCAAGGATTCCTCACTACTAGCTAGTTTAGCAACCATGGCGATGTCGTCTGCAAAACCAACAGTGTAATTCCATCTGGCATGGGGTCTCTAGCAAGCTATCATATACAGAATGTTCCACAAGGTTGGGCCAGGACGGATCCTTGAGGAACACCACCATAAATTGACACAATCTTAGTGGTCTCACACGATTCCAAGTTTTATTTTCTTTCACTCAGATATGATGATATTAATTGTACAAGATGCTTCCATCGATATATCTAGTTCTCCAACTCATTTAAGATTTTATTCCAGGTGCACTATTAAAGCGTTTTTCACATCAAGTGTAATCATAGCACATCTGTTGTCTGTAGACCTCTTCTAAATCCATATTGTCTTCTGTGAAGGCCACCAGTTCTGTCCAATTCAATTTGTAATCTGTTAAGTATTAGGTGTTCACGTAGAGCTTACTTTCCACATCCAGTAAGCTGATAGGTCTATAGGAAGAAGAATTATCTAAAGGCAATTTATTATTTTTTGGTATAAGAACAAGATCTGCTAGTCTTCCATTCTACTGGAAAAATAGCAGTTACCCAAGAGAGTTATACAATTTCAGTGCATAGTCAGGTTTGTTAAGCACCACGCGTTTTTAATAGTTCATAAGGCGGTATATGCCCTGGGCCAGCAGCTTTTCGGATTTTTATTTTCAGAGCAGCTATCTGGAGTTCCTCTTGTGTAAAGGTAAGAAATTAATGTCTTTATCGTTCTTTTTTCACAGTATTTCCTTATATCACAGTTTGTATCACATTTGTTAGTATCACAGTTTTTTAGCATCACTAAAGTCTATATCAAAGTATTTACTATCACAGTCATTTGCCACATCTTGCTTTGTTAGAAACAATTCATTTACAATATTTCCATTACATCTATAGGTAACCGAGGGTTGGGCGGAAATCCATGGATTTCTTCATCGCGATCTTATACCCATTTCCCAAAAATATCGGTGTGGCAATACTCGCATAGTTTTTTCCAACAGTCACGTTTCGATTTTTAATCAGATTTTGAAGCTTCTTTTTTGCTTCTGTATATTCACACCATAAATTGTTTGATATAATTATATTTCTGTGTTTTTCACGTGTATACGCTCTTCGTTTTTTCGTACAGTTGTTTCCGAGCCTCAGCTATTTCATTATTCCACCAAAAAACAGGTGGTTTTTCTTGATAAGATTTTTTTCTCTGAGGTATCGATAAATTGCGAATAATATCGGTCAAAGCTCTTGTAAATCCCTTAACAGTCACATTATTGTCATCACGAATTTTAACACAGATTGCTTCATCAAGCCTCTGATAGTTTAGCTTTGCCACTTGCCACCCATGGTTTTTTATTTTTTTGCAGATATTTAACTTCTTTTCCACTAATTCAAAAATTATTTAATTATGATCACTAAGTGATTCAGTATCACTAACCTCCCATTGTTCTATATATACATCTTCAGTAGTAATTGTTAAGTCTAAAATTGAACCATAACTCCCACTACTAAAAGTAGGTTTTTTTCCTTTGTTAGCTACATTTAAACTGCATGTCGCCATCCAATCTACTACCACTTGTCCCCTTAGATCAGTAAAGTTCATACCCCACTGAGGAGACTTTGCATGAAAGTCACCAGTGATGATAGCTTTTTCTCTTCTCATTTTAATTCTTGCCTGAACTTCGTTAGACATATTCTCAAAGATTAGACATTTCCTCATTTCTGAAAGAGTAGCAGCTATAAATCATGGCACATTTCTTGTACTAATATAACTAAAACTGGATCCATTTCCTTGTTCTACTATAAGATACTTGGCCTTAATACTTTTTTATTGCGCTGTTCAACTCGTTGTCATAGACCCAATCTTTCCCTATCTCTTATCGCGTTTTTTATTAGGTTCAATACCACTAACACATCAGCTTTCCATTTCTGAGCTGTAAAAAGCGCTAAATCTAATGCTGGTCTGCTTCTATTAGTATTTATTTGTAAGATTTTAATCTTGATTTGAAATATTACTTCTCAGCTTTGTCATTCGTAACTGCCTTATTTTTGGACACTTATTACTCCCCGTCTGGTGCCCTCCTTGATTGCAACTTATACAGTGAGGTTCATTTTTACAATCCACTGCTTTATGGGCTGTTTCGCTACACTTAACACATTGACTGGATCTATCCGGTCCTTCACACTGCGATTTAATGTGACCATATTGCCAACATCTATAACACTTGATCTCTCTTTGTCTTTCTGCCATCTTGCAATTCATCCATCCAATTGGTATTTGACCTAGCTGTAATAACTTATTTGCCTCGTCTTTTGCTATTATTACAGTCGCATTTTGCTTTCCTCCATATGCAGGTCTGAGCCCTCTGACATCCACTTCACATTTTTCAATTGATAAAGCCGAACATATAGCTGCTGTTATTTCTTCTATTGTAGTTACCTCGTCTAAGTTTTTTAAATGCAGAACCTTTATTAAGCAATAGAGATGTTGTTGCTCCTGTGACTTTTTCTTTAATAACCTTATTAAGTACTTCTGCTTTTCCTGCCCCATTTTTAACCGTCAGTAGCAGTTCGTTGTTTTTAGTTTTCCTGATATCTTTAATCTCAACACCGATTTCTTCAGGGTTCACCCTCCTGTTTAACAGATTTTAATAGCTCCGAGTATGTACTATTTGGCATTTTAATTAACACACCCTCCTGCCTTGGTCTCGTTGTTTTTTCCACTTTTTGAAACTCCCCTCCTATAGTACTTTTACTTTTAGCTATATTGCTATATGTCTTTGATTTATTTCCTTGCCTCTCCGTATACTTTATAATTTTTATAGTCGTACTTCCAAATAAAATTCCTAGCATTCTGTCAATTTTCGAACCTTAATTCCTTTAATTCTTGGTATAGCAATGCTACCTCTGTTGCTGTCAATAATAAGTTTTTGTCTTCTTTAAAGCTGTAAACATTAGTTCCTCCGCCCATCATTTTGTGGAGTCTTCTAAGATTATCGGAAAATAAATATTCTAAATTTTGTACCTTATTTCCATCTCTATTTTGTAAAACCTAAGGTAAGACTCATGGTAGCAACATCTCCCTTCCTTTGTATTTTGTTCTAAAAGGTGTTCTTTTTCTGTAAATTTTCATATTGCTTTGTTAATATTGTAATTCTCTGAAGTAAATGCGGTATTGCATGGTAAGACCAAAAGCTTCTTCAGATGAGATTCCCAAATGGGCTTGGCACACTCTGTAATACTTGTAAACACGTCACTTTCCCTCTTCATCGGGTATTCTTTAAAAATTCATAGTCCCTCATTCTTAATGAAAGACGACATTCGTTTGAGATTCCTGAGATTTGTTGTTTTAGGCATTCTTCACATTGTGTGTTTCTTTAGATACATCATCTCAGTGATTATGTTTACTCACAGGTTTTTAGTTGCTCCATTTGACTTCTCAGTTCATCATTTTCCTTTTTTGAAGCTCATTCACCGGAGGTGTGTCAAGATATGACACAAAATCTTTTCAGTGTGAAGAACTTCTGCAAAGTAGCTCAGCTTAATTGTTGCATCCTGAATTTCCTTTTAGGTTTGTACATTTCTTTGATCACTCCTTCCAGTTTCTTAATCTCTCATACATTTTGTTTTTAATGTGTCCTTTAGTTTCATTAAATTTAAATCAGTTTTACTCTCAGGCGATTCGTTAAGTCTTTTCCTTTTTACTGTCTCATTTAAGTCCCCTCTTGTAGTACTTAATTTCCTCGATATGCAGTCCGAGAGCGAGTTAGACCTTACTCTTGGTGGTGTCCTTACTAACGAGTCACGTCGTTTGAATGGATTTATATCGCCGTCTGTAATCTGCTCTCTAGCTATAGTTTTACCAGTAGTATGTTCTTGTGTCCAGGCCTGGTCTTCCACCTGAAACACTGAGAAAAATGCCGTTTTGCTCCCCCAAGAATCCGTGGAGCTGCCTGTATCTACAGGGTGGGATTGTGCTATTGGCTCCTACCCACCCAGGGGTACATCTTCCGTTTTATTCGACATCATATTTTCCTGTGAGTGGGTCTTGTTCAGTTACCACTCCCTAGACTGGTTGTCTCCACCACGACTAACGACTTCAGTCCCGCCGTTGCAGCCGGCTGCTCCGACTCAGACGCTGCCAGTTGTGTGTTCCCATTTTGTCTGGGTCTCCTTGATTCCTTGTCCGACAAGGGTGGCCCTACCAGTAGCTACGCTACCGTCGGCATAACCTCTAAACTCACGTGGGACACGCAAAGCCCACTCGCCACGTCAAGGGGCAGAACTTGCGGAGTGGGATATATATATATATATATATATATATATATATATATATATATATATATATATATATATATATATATATATATATATAGCAATTCTCACAATGTCAAGGCAAGAACACCTGTAGTGGGATGGTATATATATATATATATATATATATATATATATATATATATATATATATATATATATATATATATATATATATATATATATATACTGCTACTTGCTATATATATAATCTAAACTAAATATTATATTATAAAACATTCTTTTTCAGACAAAAAAAAATTACTATTACATTACTATTACAAAAATTAATACTCGTATATACACCAAACTAAATATATTATACTAAAAAACAAACATAATATATGCTCTAGTGAGATAATAGAGACTATATAAAAAAATAAATATATATATTCTATAACTATACTAAAAAAACAAAGATACTCTATAACAAAAACTATACTAAAAAACAAATATATATATTCTATGACAAACGATACTAAAAAAAAACAAAGATACTCTATAACAAAAACTATACTAAAAAACAAATATATATATTCTATTACAAACTATACTAAAAAAATAAAGATACTCTAACAAAAACTATATTAAAAAACAAACAATATTTTCTATAACAAAATAAAATAGCTATTCTGATTTATATTGACTTTTCATGGTAGCCACTAAATCCTTTAAGGCAAATGCAATGGTTTCTTTAGCTACCACCTCGCTCTCATACAACTTTAACTTTTGTTCTTGGTAGTTTTTCGCCTGGCTCTTAGTCAACTTGATAAGTTTTTTATTTGCGGATATAGCATTATCGAGTCTTTGTACTTTAAAATTTTTCTTTACCTTTTTGTTTGCTGTGTAGCTATTGTTTTCAGAGTTTTCTTCTTTCCCCAACGTAGATACTAGTGTTTCATCCACAACCTCATAGCTTGTCGATGGTACACTAATATCTAAGTTGGGGTTATTATATTGAGTTTCGTCTACAGTAAAATTAAACTCGCAATCTGATTCTGCAATATTTTGGTAACCATCTATTGCCACTGTTCCAATTAGCTCGACCACCTTTTGTTCTTCGCTATTCAACATCATATTAATAGGTGGCCCTCCACCTGTGGCATTCATGTGAATTTTAATGTCATTGTTTTTTTTTGGCGTGTCCCTTCATGCCAAGTCTAAAATTATACCATAAGTAAATTAGTTCGTTTAACTACACTGTAATAGTTGATTTCAAATGTTTAATCTTTTAATCAGTTATAGAGTGAAAATAACCTTACTTTGCGCCACTGCTTCCAACCCTTTTTGGCCCCTGTTGGACATCCATTTAAAATAGTGGCAATGTTATTCCACAAAGCTTGTGCTTTTTTGAATGTAAATTCGTTAGTAAATTTGCCACTTAACAACATTTTTTTTTGGTCGACAAACACATTCACACGTTTTATAATTGATGTCATGTTGATTGTCAGATGAAAAATTAAAGCAGTAGGTACTAGAGAAAAATATTAATGTCTATCTCTGCTCTGCTGTTTGTGACTTGCAAGATTAGGTTAATATGACAGATGGAAATGGCTTCGGCACGAAGTTAACAGTAAATAAAAATACGCTGTGAAGTTAGCTCATTTCGAAACTTTACAACGTTGCCACCTCGTGACCATGCTAAAATTGACGATTACAAAATCGCATGCGAATTTAATTCCGGTGAGTGTTCAAAAATGCATTTTTCAAGTTGTATGCGAAATACTCCATGCGAATATATTCGCGTTCGATTGTTTTCGTCTAAGTTCGAAAATCTGAGCCTGCTTTTATACGAACTAATCCTGCTTTTATACGAACCAACATGAAACCATACAACATGTAACTAACGAAAATAATACGTAGGTCTTACTTGTTGTTTGGCGTTGGCGACGACAGACTGATATTACAACAAACGGTATTTTTTTAAGATTCACCTCTACGTAGCGCAGTGTTTCGTGTATAACAAACTAGGTGAACAAAACTGTTTTACGGTATTTTGCGGTAGTATTAGCAAAACTAAAAAACACGTCAATTTAGATTTACTGGGGGAAACATTTTACAGGTATCTGTCACCCTGCAGTTTCAATGGTGGATATAACTTCTAAAGGTTCAAATAGAAAGGGGTATAGTGTGATAGCTCTTTTTAAAGGTCTCTTCATTTTTAATCTTTTGACACCTTATTTATTAAAATCAGATGGTTTTTTACAAAGTTATACAATTTTAAACTTTAAAATTAAAAGAATTATAATTTACATTGTATGCATTTACGCCTTGTACTTAGTGATGATCAATCTGATGTCCCTGATGAGCAAAATATGCCCCTTCGTAAATATAAAATGACGAGTTTTTTTGTTAAATTGAATTTAAGGTATTTTAAAAGTCATTCTGGGTGGCTAGTTCTGAAATAAAAGCCCTTAATAATATAAGTTACATCAAGTTTGAGTTAAAACTATTGGTAAATAAAGTAATAAAAGAGACGAAACATTTAAGTTAATTGGCAATTGCGAAAATATTTCCTTTCAATACTACGAATTTGTAAAATCATCAAATCAGCACTAACGCGGTCATCGCACCGGTCATCGCACCGATAGACCAATAATGCTGATTCGATGATTCGACGTAACGAACCAATAAATACAAAAATGTCACCTGTTGGGGGACAGTCGACAGTCGATAGTCGATAGTAAGTTCGATAAGGTCGCGGTCGAGATTCCGGCATTGGCGTGACACTACCCTGACACTACCCCGAGCCAGTGATGATGTTCGTCCATAAATATAATATGTAAGTACACATTTAGTTTTATAATTATTTTATTATTCGTAGATTAATTAAATTGATTATTAAGTTAAATTGAAGTATTTATTATTTGCTATGCCCCTAGTCATAACCCACAAAATGGGGTGTGACATATATGATGGAGGCGATTTTTATTTTATAATTATTCATTAATTTACGAATAATGTGCATGCCAATTCATAATTCCAACATTTTACGGTAGTTAGTAGATATGTTTTTTTTTCTCTAAGTTTGTCTCTCGGAATCTAAGTTCATTTATTCATTTTACTTTATATATTTAAAACATGGCGAAAATACAAATAATTAAAATACATCATATACGATTTTTTTTAATACTTCGATAGCAACGAACAAGCTTACATACTTTTACTTTACATTTACCGACTTAAATAATAATTATATATTTAAAATGCTTCATTATTTGGTAGGACGGACTATTT